TGTATAATAATTTGTAATGTAAATACTGTATAATAATTTAAATATAATTAATAAAATAATATAAAATTTTGACATTTTGACATTCGAATCTTATGAATTGACACATTACCACTGATGGTTTATAAATATTTCATCATATGCTCTATCTAATTGATTCGTAAATTATATTTTTGCTTTATACATTGAAGAAGGCTTTGTAAGCCGAAACATTTGTAATTTTATATTTTTTTTTATTATTTTATTAATTGTGTTTAGATTATTATATAATATTTACATTGTTATGTTAATTATATTAATTTAAAGTTTAATTATTGGGTTGTCCGGAAAGTTGCCGATGTTGAAGGAAAATTGAAACGCAGAAAATTTAAATTTTAGTATACATTTATTAAATTATATAAGTTAGTCGGCACGAACTTTCCGGATAACTCAATATAAGCTCGAAATAAGCCACGAATTTGTTAATTTGTTTTGAAAATATACGAGCATTTTCACTCTAATTTTATTTTTAAAAATAAACAAGTTTCCAAAGAATCGTTCACAAATTTTATCGAAGTTTGTTATATTATAATTTTAATCCACACGTCATATGTTTTAGCGTGTTATAAAATATTTAATTATAGTTTGATACATTTATTATAAGGTATTAAAAAATTAATAACTGATAATTTCTAAGTAAACTACTTCTATTGCCGCATTATGCGGCGTGCAACTAAAGAGACTGTCTAATAAGAGTCTGGACACAAGCCACAGTTTTGTATGCAGAATAGATTTTAACAAAAAATTGCGAAAGAGAAGGGTATACATTTATTACTATTTCTTTTTCTTTCTCGTTCTATTGTATCTATTTTTTATTTCTTTCTTTCTTTCTCTTTCCCAGAAATTATTACAACATAGCGAACCAATCAAAAGTAGCTGTCTCATGTCCAGACTTTTATTAGAAAATCTCTACATGTAACGCATGTTTAGTAATTCTCCTGTGAAAAGCAAGCAACACCTAGATAAAACTGAAACAGGATACATTTATTATAATAAAAAACTGTCATTTGAATACTTTGAATATGATATACTTGCACATAGCACATGTTGTTATCATTCTAATGTATCACGCTGTGCGATTATGTTCATTATGCAAATGAAAATAATGACATGATGAAATAATTATCACAGACGATTCAAGAAATCTAAGCTAAAGCGCTTTTAACGTCGAGAGAGATATGATAAGAGAGCTCGATAAGCATTTGCTTGAAAGTCCTCAATTTCAAAGACATAATAGACATCGTATACTCATTATCAAATGTTAATTAGGAACATTCCATCTCTTTGAGACAATAAATTCAAAATAATTTTGTTGTTTTTTAATAGTAAAATTAAATATGATTCTTAGATAAAAATATTAATAATAAATAATAATAATTAAACATTAAAGTTATTAAATTAATTTTTCCTAGATGTTCTCAACCTTTATATCTTCATCACAAAATTTTGAAGAACTATTAATAGTAAATAAAAATGCTCATATGCTAGAAAAAATTTTGTTATGTTGATTTAGAATTCTGAATTCAATCCGAAAGATAACAAATCAGATATTTATCAGAAATTTATTTAACGTCTCAAGAAAACTAAAATTTAGGATAATTAAAATTTTAATTTATATGATCAGAATTCGTTTTATTTGTTGATACAGTCAGAATTATTTTTCTTTGTAACACTTTTATAAGTCTCGTATTACTCGGTTGCATTATAATTAAATTAAAACTTTCAAAGTAGATTTATTATTGTGAGTCATAGCAGTAGTGATTATTTTAAATGTTTATCCAATCTTTTTCTAATGTCTCAGAATAAATTTGATATCTTTATGCTAGATAACTGGAGATAAGAGTAGATAAGCAATATTCAACAATTCGACATTGCATGCAAATTTAAATGAATCTTTTTCTTCAAGATATATCTTTTTGCAAATGCATATAAAAATTACCTAAATAATAAATAAATTTTTAAACACGTACGTAATATTCAAATGCTGAAACATCCAAGTACAAGTTCTACTAATCTAATCTTCAAAAAATATTTGAACTTTTTCTGGAATTAATAACAGCATGGTACGGCAGCTATATGGTTGGCCGCTATCATTGCGATCCACGTTGCTTCTGAAAAAGAATCTATATTTAGAGCGTGTGCTGGCACAGTGCCCTGTGCTTTAAATATTTTCTGTTTGATCAACGAAATATTGAAAATTTTCGTATCTGTGTGGTTGCGTAAGTGACCGAAGTAAGCAGATCATGACGCCAAACTACGAGTTTAGATCTGTCTACAGGGAAAAAAATGTGTGGGAAAGGTAATGAGCTCATACGTTAGTTACTCTCATATGGTTTTTGGGCACACACTCGTATTCGCGCGATGAATATTTGGATCACGCAACAGCGCTCAGATACGTCAATGACGAAAATATAAATAACTGATAACTCTTATTCCTCTCTTTTTTTTTCATAAAATTATGAAATTATCAAAATTAATAATTTTTGAATGAAAGAATTTCATGTTTTTTATATATTGTGACCATTTTTTTTAATTCTTCAAAAGATTGTAAACTTTAAAAATCTATCATTTTAAAGAATTTTTATGTTAATCCGTTGACCGTTTGTTTAGTTTAATTCATTATACATTTTTTTACGTAACAGAACTAAGCATAACTATAAATGTTCTTCTTAACGTACAGAATACAAGGAAACTTGTAAAAGATGATATAATCTTCTCTTACGGTTTTGTATTCCTTTAGGCGTAACTCTTATCTTCTACGCTGTCTTCTTCGCTGGGCTCGCGATACTCTTCAGTATTTGCATGAAGGGCATGCTGGCCACATTGAGCGACGAGAAACCTAAATGGACTTTAAGTAGCAGCATTATAGGTACTAATCCAGGTAATTATTCGCTCCGACATGTCTAAAAAATTATATTATAAATCAATCTGATTATTTTTTATTTTTAATATTACTTTTTGACAATATATTTAAAAAAATTATGTTATTTGATAGAAATAATTATTTATAATACATGTTTGAATTTTTTGATTGCAATCATCAGGGTTGGGATTCCGACCGATTTCGGATAATCCCGATGAGAAATCACTTATTTGGTACAGCGCATCAAATGCGACTGATATACAAAAATGGACGCAACGCTTGGATAAATTTTTAGAAAGTGAGTAATATGGAATCTATTGACTTATTTTCAATAACGGCATTGCTGTTAATTCATTAGTGCTATTAATATATTAGTGTATGTGCATATACACACACACACACACACACACACACACACACACATGTAAATACTGATTATTAGTAATACATTAAAAAAATTATTAAAAAGATATTTACACATCCAAAAAAGCTAATTCTTATTGCAATAGAAATATAATTAATTATTTTTCCAATTTTGTTAAATTCAAATTTAAATTCTCGAATTTCCTTTTAATTTTCGTACGATACTGTTACATAATTTAGAATACATAAATATAAATGATATTTATAAATATATAAATATCATTTTAATACATTTCTCCATTTCATATATTAAAAAAAATTCTTTTCACGCGTCTGCCAGCGTTAAAATAAATTTTCATTCTTTTATGTTCCCATACAACACAGAAGATTGAAGCAATATTGCTGCAATATTATAGATTGCAATGTAATATTGCAGAGGTATTACAGAAATATTAATAACATGCCTGCAAAATGTCAGTAATATGCTCGTAATATTCTACAAACATTGCAAAACGGTAATTCTTTAATTGTTACAATAATAATAATATAAGAATATAATATTTTA